AATTTGTTAAGCAAACAAGTATGGGCTCAATAAGCTCTTGGAATACTATATTCACAAAATCTTCCAATTTCATCACAACTACATAGAAAAAAGCAACAGTTTTTTTTATAGAAACGAAAGAAATTCCACAAGCTGGTTGAATCAAAAGCAAGAAAGAGAGATTCGTGATCCTACTTGCATATTGTAGAAGTACGTAGTAGCACATGCATGTAGAATAAAATAATTGAGAAAATCTTGAAAGAAATCAATTATAAGAAAAAAAAAAAAAAACTTGAACTAGAGATTTTTTTGGTACATAAAACTTGGACGAGATAAAGTTAATCAATAGTACTATCCAGTTCCTGGAATATGAGTCAGGGTTTTGGCGCCAAAAATTAATCGAGGCAGAAGGAATTTGCTCCCATGCGAGCTTTTGTGTAGCTTTTGTTCAGAGCTTTCATCAGTAGCTTACAGTCATTGAGAATAGTAAAAAGAAACAACAACACATGAGTAAGAGAAAAACTCAAACCCTATTCATCATGCAAACTAAACAGAGAGAGCAAAGAAATGATTGGAAATTGGAAGGAAAAGAAAGCAATGTGGAACATATATGAGAGAAAAAAAAAGGAAAAGAAAAGAAAAGAAGGTATATTACAATCAACATAGCAACAAGCGTGGCAGAGAGGAAGAGAGGACTTGCAAAACATGAGATCGAGCTTTTGGTACTTTGGCAAGTTGGAATTAAAAGTGGAATGGAAGGTAGGCTCACAGCTAGACCTTGGCAGAATCCAGCCATGTTGATCTTGCTCGGCTCATGTCTGTTGGGTCAGCGTCGGGTTGGACCAGCCTTTAACTAGTAGGACCACCTTATCCCTCCTCTCAGAGGACATTTCACCTTCCGGACATGATTTCGGGCGGATTCTTGAGCAAACTCAAGCTTAGCATTTTCGCCCTAAAATGGAACTAAACTGATTGTTGCATTTAGTTTAGAGATGATAATTGGATGGGAAGGAAATTATAGTTGTTTTTGGTTGAGATAATCTCATGTTCACATCATTTTGGGTTTAAATTACTTGGATATAACACCAGCATTATTTTAATTTAACAAGTTTCTCTTTTTATTGCACACGTGAAGAAAAGTAATTTTTAACATTTCCTATAATTTATTAATGTATTTAATTTTAAGGCCATTTTTGTTGAAATGCATGCACACAGCTGAGTGCAGAATCTTTTCATTAAATTTTTGTTCTGGGTAATTTCAAGCATAGTTGAAAACATCTATTTCTGAATGCTAGAAAGATAAGTGTACAGAACAGATTAGAATTATTATTTGAAGTTGCACAAACGCTTTGCCACGATTTCAGGCAAGTTCATATTGACATTTGAGATCATCCTAGTGGTCTTCTGCAACAGCGGCTCTAGGGGAAACAGAAAGATGGTTCTGCTCCTTCAGCTTTTGGTTGACTGCATTCGTTAGTGAGAAGATACTTGACTCCTGTTCCACCATGACGTGCGTCAAAGCAGGATATTTCAGTTGGGAATCTCAATCGAGCTCTTGCCATCACCACTTTCAGAACCATCATCTGGACAGGTTGCAATCAGGCCTTTCATCAATGAGAGGAACCACAAACTCTGGTGTGAAATAAAAACAAAGCTGAACCCATCACTAACTTCATCACGTTTTGAGAAAATACTGATTAAAGGGATGTTAGTACACGAGATACAGTATCAGTAATTTGCAGAACTTTATTTTGCAAAAGAACAAGCATATTTCCAGTACTACAACTATGAATAATGCTGTCCTGCTCCTGCTGCAAGGGTGAAACTAACTACGAAAAAACAAAAGAATTGTGTCAACCCCTGGCTCAATTTGATCGGAGTTTGCAAATCAACCTCCACCTTGACACTAACATCCGCAGTGCAAGCAAAACAAAATTATCATCTTTAGGTAAAACCAAAGCACCTACTGGACTAGGAATTTGGCATGATCAAAATTGGAGAACCTGCATGTTGCCTGCCTAAGCTGCAATCCCTACCTGGCTTTGCAGATCAGATGGCACTAAAATGGTGTAGGACGACCACGGACAGATGTTAATGCAGCAACAATACACTTAGAAGTATATGATTGATGATTGCACTGTAATAGAAGCCATTGAAGTAAGAACTTTACATATTACCTCGTGCATCCAGAATTCCAGACTACCAATGCTCAAAGTCTAGGCTAAGGTTGGGTTTATGGCATAGACTGATTGGGAGGGATGTGTTTCGGGGTCCTCTATAGGCGGAGATGGGGATGAGTTGGTGTTTTGGTCTTCTTTCTGGGTAAGTTAAAGGCTCAAAAGGTGGCACTGGCGAGCTGTCACCTTAGTTGTTTTCATATACCCCACCATGGTGGGTATGGGGAATTTGAAAACAGTAAATGACAGTCACCATTTTGACTTTTTTCATCAATGGCTTGGAAAAAATTACACTATAAGTGGAAGGTTAATCAACCACCAGAAAGTCTGCCAGTGTTGTCAATGTGTTCACCATTCCCGTTGTAACTGGCAAAGTAATAGACCGCTTCACCGTGATGGGTTGATTGGCAAACTCAAAGATGGGCCCTGATTGCCTTAAATCTCTATCTGTAAGCCCATTTATTTAAAGGCTTGATACTGAATTAAGTCCACTGCACTACCACTATCAACTAAATTTATTGCACTTAATAGTTGGCCATCGTTGCTGTGACCACTATTGGGTCATTGCTATTGTTCACCAATATTTCAGTATCAGCCTCTGCAAATTGCACCTGCCAATCTATAACTATTTGCTTCTTAGTTACAACATCAATTGCCTTCACACTGCGTAAATGAGACTTGCACTTAGATTTACCGTTCGCCTAATCCTTCGTAGCCTCTACAATGATATGGATAATTCCTGGATTAAGCATTTGTCCATTGCTTTCTCCTGATGGGCCTCTTTTGTTTGGCGGGATTAGTTTTTAACTTGCTGGTTGTTCGTTACTTCATGGTTTTGGCAGGGTGGAGGGTTGTTGTCTTAAGCGATTGATTTGGTGTTTATAATGCTTTCCATTCTTTCAATCTCCTCTTAGAGAGCTATGCACTCATCAGTAGAGTGCCCCAACTGAATGCTAGCTGCAATGTCTTAGTTGTGGGAATGGGATTGGTTTTTTGGGCGACTGAGTGGAGGTCTAGCTTATGGGCCTGACAGTTGTCATGAAACTACTGGCTCAATGAATCAATTCGTCTGTCTTTTCCCTATCAGCGGCTTTAATCTCTTCGAACTCAGCAAACTTCTGGACCCTTTCATACAACTGGTACAACTGTTTTGATTGTTTTCTGTAAAAGAATATCTCAGATGATCATGCCTCACCCCAGAAGTAAAGGCCTAGATGGTCCATTCAATGTTCAAATCTTTGATCTCTAGTGGCGGTATTGAACATTTTCAAGTACTGTCGTAAAGTTTATTTAGATTTTTGTATTATGACCAACAAACTTGCAAAGAAGTGGACAATAGCCCTGCTGCCTATAAAATGTGCTAAGAATTGCCTACTGAGGGCATCGATACTATCTATAGTGGCAGGGGCCATAGAATATAACTATGTCATGGCCCTTCCACACAAGGTGGTGGTAAAGGCCCTGTACTTCACCGCATCAGAAGCATTGTGCAGATCCATAAAGATTTTGAAGTGGTCCAAGTGATCTTCTTGATCAGTGGTCTCATTATAGGTGTCTTGATAATTTAAAGGAAGATGGGATGTTAGCTTGTCTAATGGTGGAGGTGAGAGGATTATTATCATCCTCAGGAAATCCTCGTTTTTCTCTTCTTCCAAGTCAGCTAGCACCTTGCGCAAAGCAGCAACTTGTGCGACTAGCTCATTTTCTGGGTTATAAAAAGGGTTTGCATGTGTTTGGTTTAATGTAGGGTTTTGTGGCACTGAGAGTGAGACATGTATAGTGAAAATTACCAGGGGAATGTTTGATTACAAACCGACATTAATGGGTTGTTAAGAAAGGATCTGTGCTGTGGGTAGTTGAGGAACAGTGTTTGAAGGTCCAGGTGCGGTGCTGTGGTGTAGACCAATGGTGGTGTCAGTGTTACATTCGGAGATAAAACTCTCTAATAAAAGCCTAGAGGCTATGTTACCCAAGCATTTAATGAAAGTGGATTGTGAGGAATGGAAAACTCCAAGTAGGTAAATTTAGTGATGGAATTTGAGAAAAAATTGGTAAAAAGGATGTTACTTTGGTAGCAGTTGTAGGTTGAGTAAAAGCATTAATAGTGGGAGTTAGAGTCTCAGAGGAATGTCTTAGCTAGAAGGAAGAAGGAGAGGTGGAAAGGAAAGACAGCTAGGACCTGCATCCAGAAAACACGATCAGAGGGTCATCGGAGTTTTTACTCAAGGGTGCGTACCAACACTAAAGTGAGTATTATGTTTGAGGTAAGGTTAAGAAGTAAGAAAGATGGAGATGGTCAAAAGTGTGAGAGAAGCTTCAATGTAGGAAAAGTCATAGGGTGTTAGGTCTAATTCTATGTTACCCTTGAATTTTCGACTACCTCGTGTGAGATAAAAGATAATGACTAGATTGAGACACTTGATAATTGATAAAATATTTATGTAAAATTTAATAAAAGTTTACTTGAATAAGTAAAATTATATTTAATAATTTTAAATATATATAAATTATATTTAATGATTTTAAATAAATTAAATATTAATTAATTGATTTTGAAGTGATTACCTTAACAAATGTTTGGTGGAGCCTTAGGCGAGTCCTTCAGGGCAAATCATCCCTTTAAAGTAGGTGATGTGATTGTTTAGGTGTGCTTCGTTAGAGCGATCCAAGGACCCAAATGTGTTGACCAAACTTTAACCGTTGACCAGTTGAGTTAAGTGTAACACCTCTAAAATAGCTAAAGAGCATGCAAGACACCCAATAGCAGCTACAACTTTTCTTTGGGTCCATTTCGTACATAAACTCAGTAAACATGCTGTTTCCAGATATGGGGTTTGACTGATCATGCAGTAAGGATTCAGTTTAAAAAGGCAAATGGTTCATTGGCCATTAATTTAGAGTTTTTATGGGCAACTTTGGCCTTTGGGATTATATAGTAATTATATAGCTCTTATATCATTTTTTTTTTTTGAAAAAAATGTTATCAGCTATGGTCTACACTTAAAGAGTAAAAATAGAAACATACTAAGAAAATGGATCAATAATTAAAGGAGGTGATAACTAGTCTTCTTACTCTGATGACAGTGAAGTTTTCAGCATTAAAAAGCTCCCACCCTGTCACAAGGAATCAGGCAAAGTTCAGAACCATGTTTGAGGAAGACATTTCCTGACAAAGCCAATCAAGTTTGCGTAAACATAAATTGAAACGACATTTGCAAAATGTTTTCATAGTTGTAACAACATAATAGCAATTTTCAACCAAGGTGCTAGTACATAAACAAAGTTGGATCACAACTAAGATGAGATTCTCTATACTTAAAGATGTAATGAACTTTTTTTGAGTTCCTAAAGTCAGCAAAAGTACCAGAAAGGTATAATTACCATTCTTTCCCTTTTCAACATATTTACTGGCTTAACTACAAACTGACTAGTTATTGCTATGAATGAAACCTGCATGCAATTAAAGAATAGGAGAAGATTGTACTCACTAAAATAACAGAGGATGGACATCAGACAGTGTACCGAGCCAAATGGTAACAATGGTAAAATAAAGTACATTATAGGTAACAACAAACTTATCAAACTGGGCATGATGAATAGCTAAATAATAGTAAGAATAGTGAGCAAGTAAGCATACTTACTATTCTTATAGGCTATTCATCTATCATAAAAGTAAGAAGTGATGAAGACAGATAGGCAAAGCAAGGACATTATTGAAATTCAAATGATCAAGCTTTTCTGAAAGTCCAGAATATCAGCAAATAACTTGAGTCTTGCAGAGGAATGCCAATCCACCTAGATGATATATAAAAATATTCCTAATCTTCTTCTGCAGATCCTAAACTACTATTGTACACTGAATTCTCCAAAAATAAAAATGCAGATGCTTAGTTCAAAACCAGCATGGATCCAATTTAAAGTGCAAAATTTAAAGAAAAGGTAAAATACAATGAGACTTGATAAACATGTGCAAATAAAAAGAAGCTCCAAAACAATAAAATTAGTTAACAAAAAGTGTCAGCACACCTGCATTTTGCTGAGGATTGATTCCCACACCATCTGTATTAAGAAAGAACATATAATTCAATAAACAATATATAATTGGGGATGTAGATATTTAGATATCTGACATCATAGATTTGACATGTCTATCTCATCGTAATTATATATAAAATTCATATTTAATGATTTAGATTATAACTAGGCTTATTAAGAAAAATTTATAGAAATAAGGGAGCCAAAGCTGCTTATAAAGGTAACCATGGCATAGTTAGATTTCACAACAATTTAACTCATTTTTATGTTATTTTCGTTGTAATCAACTAACGTCTTGCACAGTCAGGTCACAAACATGGTTTACGAAAATAATAGTTAAAGTTCAAATCCAAATCGGTCTCTACCAACTCAGTGAAGACCAGCTCGAACTCTTTCTTTATATTGTTATATATTACTTAGGATATCTAATTGATTCCAGATCCATTTTGATGAGCTATAAAAGTCAATAGATCCTTATAGGAACCAGGTTTCATAAAATATCATGAGTACTGACTAACAGATCCAAAGTTCAATAAAATCAGAAGGCTCCATTTCAAACATGAAGAATTTTATTCAGAAGTTTTTAATGGTTTTCTCCAGACAATAAGGTTTCTTCTTGTATCCTCGCCAGCCAGATATTTTTACTAATCTAAAAGAACAACCATATATATACAATCTAAAAGTACATCTCAAGAATGGAAAGGTCCCCTCTGTAGGACTCCTCCACGCCATTACAAGTCAACAAAGCATAGCCTTTAACCATAGATCATGAATTTCTCATGAAATTATCACAATGTTTCCAACCACTAATAAGCGCATACCAACCAATGCCGAGTTGGGAAACAAGGTCATACAGCGAAGAACAAAAATAAGAATTGCCTCAGTGAGATACGAAAAAACTTAAAGCAACTTCATAAAAAATTTATAATCAGATAGCACCACACAAATTTTCAAGACAAAATGAGTTTTTTTTTTTTCCTTAAAAAGCATACTCTATCTGTCCGATTCCATCAAATTTAGAACTCAATCAAACGATTTTGATCACGTAGTTTTTCATCATATAATGATCTAAAAATAGTTCTTTACTGCAATGAATTATGCCCATTTCACCCCATTTATTTTGAAATTCTTATTTTTTCTTAAAAAAAAAGAAGGCAAATTTGCTAATCTAAGACAGTTTCCACCTCTAATCAAATGTCACATGCACAAAAGGAGAAAAAAATCAATTAAATTAATAATTAAATAGAAACCAAAAAAAAAAAAAAAAGGCAGGAGGAAAGGATTGATTTACCGTTGGTGATGCGGTAAACGGAGCTGCTTCTGGAACGATAAACCTGAAAATTTGAAACTTATATAAAAAAAAATCGAGATTAAAAACAAAAATTTGAAAATAATAATTAAATCAGGCGCTCGAACAAAAAAAAAAGAAAAACTCACACTTTGAAAGGGAGCTTTGGATCGGAGGTAAGAGTGACTTTGAAAGACACTTTGTATTACATTTGGATTTGCCTGCACTCCTTTGTATCTGTGTGGTGGTGATCCCAATCTGGTTCCTGACAATTATCTTACCTTTCTTTGGCCCTATCAATTCCACCGTTGGATCTCTCCTTGTCAGCTTCACTGTTTACATAATTCCTTCCTTGATTAGCACACATGGTAACTTTTGCACCTGCAGCCCCCCGAGTGGTTTGGCATCTTTATTCTTTAATTCTCACCATCATTACCCTCAAATAAAGATCTTTTGAGTTTTAACAACTAATGTCCTTTTTTTTTTTCTTTTTCAGAATGCAGTGGAAAGGCCTCTATCATTCCTGGCATGTACTCCATGAAGATCTTTGTAGGTATGGGTTTAAATATAATCTCTTTTTCATTTTTCTCACATGGGATGTCAACTTTGAAGTGATTTGCTGCAAATTTGATATAAACCCACCAGCCTGAGAGATATGAAATAAAATAAAACATAGATAAGTTTAAAACAAATAAATTTTTAAAATTATAAGATTTTTGGAAAAAAATAAAAACTCTTTATATAAAATTAATCTTAAAGTTTAATTACATCATTTTAATAATTCATTCATTTAAATATTTATTTTATATCTAATTATTCAAAATAATCAAATAAAAATCAAAACATCTTATTTATGAAGATAAAATTCCTCATAAATTTTTAAAATTTTCATGTAAAATTTAAAACAAACTCTCAATATTTATAAATTCATCAAAATTTTCACGTAAAAATAAAAGATTTAAGGCAAATTCTCTTATGTCTGTTTACTGCCAAGAAATGGATATTAATTTCAATGATTTCTTCTTCCCTCCATGATCAATGAATCTATCCACGCATAAAAGAAATGATTTTGACCATCCATTCGTAACTAACTGGAAATCTTCATTTGGTTTTGTCAAGCAAGTGGTGGAAAAAAGATATGCCAAATTCACGCATCCCATCTGGATATTTTATGAAAGTTTGAAACCATCCACGCACAAGATTCACCTCGTAACTTTATGGTACAGGAATCAAATCCTTTGATCCAGAAATATATGGATGATGGAACAACATCCAGGGTAAGACACTTGTGTGGGGTCCCAGTTGTTATATCCATGCTAATTGCTATGGTCATGAGTCATAGACATACCGATTTATGATGTGAGGTTACATGTGTCATCACATGGTTGGATTTTCTTCTGACATAGCTTCCACTCACGTTGTCAGCTTTATTTTGTCTTGACCAAATTAAAAAAATAATAAATTTTAATTTTAATTTAATTGATTTTATACTATCAATTTTAAAAATTAATTTTTAATAAATTTAAAATTCAAAATTTAACACTTCCAAAATTTTTTCCTATCATTAATTGTGATCTTTTTTGTATTAAAAAAAAAAAAAAACAGCTCCAACCTCCCACCTTTGTCCAATTGCCTAGATTTTACTTGCCTTTTTTTTTTTTTTGCTGCAAAAGTATCTTTGTCTGTAGTATTACTTTTATTTTTTCATTCTTTTTGCTATAGTGGCTGAGTTCTTTGCTAGAATCATTTTATTGATATATTATACGCTTACTTAAACCTTTTACAAAAATTACCCAAAAATAAAACCTTTTAAAAATTAATCAAAGATAGTAATTGAATAGTTATATAAATAATCATAATTATTTTCGTGGCGAGGAATTTTTAGGGTTTTTTCATAATATTTTTTGAGGTTTATTTACGTTGGTCTATTAAACTTATAAAAAATTATTTTTTTACATTCTATCAGCAGATTGGAATTCAAACAATTAAAAAAGCACACTTTTTTTTTATCACTTAAGTCAAATATTCATAGATAAACGGCCATTATTTCAAAATTTTCTCCAACGTGTAAGCTAGAGAACATCATTTGAATTGATTAACAAGATCAAGGTGGCACCTGTTTATGAATAGTAAATTGGCATGAGAATTCTACTCAGAATTGTTAGAACAAAAAACAAGTACCCCCTCCTGGGGTTTTACTTGGAGGTGCTTAAACATTAGACCAGAAGCATCATGACAGGACATATAATTGTTTGTTCTATGCATTTTATTATTGAATAAGCTATGATAGAAACTCTTGCAAATATGTCGATATATTCTCTTTTCTCGAATATTTTTTATCATGTTACATATGCGATATACAATACGTACCTATCATAAAATAATTAAATCATTCAGAATTTATAAGATATAATTATTATCATTTAAATTTAAATTGGTTCTAAAAATTACCCCTATAATATCATAGAGAAAATTAGTAGCATTACCTTTATGTTACCTGCACGATGGGTAGGGCAATGAAGTACTGATACGAAGGCATGAAGTGAGTGAGTGAGTGAGTGCAATGGGGACATGAGAGAGTCTCGACTTCCCTTGACGCTACAGCCTACCTAAAAATTGGCCCATATTGTTCTTTTTTGACTTGAACTTTTTTCTTCTATCTTGTCTATATCTACGACTACTGTCCACTGAATCCAAAGCCCAATGGGTTGATGATCAGAATTTTTGAGAGATGACAGAGTAGCCCACTCATAAGGGATTGCCATTGAGTAAAAAAATTGGGTCCAGGCTAAGTTTATACAATGATATAAGCTAGCCTGCTATTTGGAAAAGGAGCTCTGAAAAAAATAGTGATTTATATGTTTTCCTTCTGCATGATTTGTCCTTGTTAGTGCTTCTGGGGAGGAACGACGCATAACGCCTTATATTTTATATGCCGCAATTTTCAGCACAATGACACGTATAACATATGACAAAAGAAGGAAAAAAAAAAAAAAAAACATTGCAATTGCCTGATCGTTAGATATTTTGAGCCCAATGATCACATCTTCATGTAAGAATCTTGTAAATACAACAGATTTCCAGCCCATTTGCCGCTAATGTCATTCAGAGGTTCAAATTGTACCATCGCACCAAAACAAAGGGAAGATTCTGGCATTTCAGTCCCTCACTGACAATGTTATCAGTAACACAGTGATACTTAAATCCTCCACCTCATGAAATGGCGTAGCCTAATTCATCCAGGCTCAACGAAAAGAATTCAAGATTAAAATGTGAAAATGTAAGATGGAATTCATTGCCCAGAGATAAATGATAATTGAGTTCTTGTACAACAGAAGTGATACTGTTAGCCTATAGCATGTACCAGACTTCACAATGTTCTACTATAAAAGAACTGAAAAGTTTAACTCGATTCATGCAGTCACCCTTGTGAAATGACAATCAACAAACCTGATTTAAATTTCAACGTTAACAACCTTTTTTCCAATCTGTAACCTCTTTGTACAAAAGTAAAATGCTCTCCAGTCAGGATTCTGAAACCTTGCTGAATTTGATCAACTTAGATTCTCACTAGACATAACATGATGGAATTAAGGAGCATATATAGAAATCACAAAATCAATCAATTATAGATTTCCACACTAACAAGAAGGTTGCAATCTCAAAATACTTGAGATTTTCAGCTCAAAGGTAACTGCATCCCTTGACTCCAGCCAAAAGGAGGGGACGGCGATTTAGATCCATTCTTTGATTCTGGGGTGTTTGCCAGAGAAGGATACAATCAAACTGGTGATTCTAGCAAGAACTTTGCACGTTATACAGAAGGAAAACTGTGCATAGAGGTCAGAGATTCCAAGCTGCCCTCAAACTTACTTTTAAATATTCCATTTGGTGCATTCACTGAAGAGTTGACATAATTAAAATGATAAAATATATTACTCAGAATTCCCATACCCAAAACTTAGAAACTAGTAATCATCTAGGTTAGCAAGTCAAATACTCAAATGTCTCTTGCCTGTGATATGTTCCTTACATAACAAATACCATTGGACTGCCTAAGTTGGAACTCTCAAGAATAAACTTTGACTTGTAATTCCCAGCAGGCTGTTTCATGTAATCACATAACAGATCAGACTGACCAACTATAGTCAGAACTGAAAGCCATAAGTGTCCTAATGAGCAATTCTGATGAAAAATCTCAATCTCAATCTCAATCTCAATCTTGCATTACATGATTGAAACATGGACCCCAGTGCACAAAGCTATAGACGGTGATTACTGGTGTATTTTTAAGACTAATGCATGAGAGCAAATATGAAATCCCCTTTCCCCCTCCAGATCTTTATGCTGCTAATCAAAGCAAGCAGTTCAACTCAAAGAATTTCTAACCAATGCATATAATTCATGATAATGAAGAGGATGAATGATGGCATGGAAAAAAACCAATCAAAAGTTGCAAGATAAGGCTCCGACAATAACTTCAGCTGTAATGATTTAATAAAAACCAAATCACTTCCAATATTTGTACAGTATTCGTGTACAATGTCCTGGCAAGTCCTATTATTGGTAATCCTTTCTTTAAATATAAATAAAAGAAGTTCATACACTTACGAAATACGTACTCCTCCAGAAGGTCAGCAAACTGTCAGGTTATGTTTAGTAAATCAATGATCGAGAAACTGTAAATTATGTTTCTTTCTTAGCATTAATTTCTAACTGCCACTGAAGAAAACTATACAAGCATAGCATGAATGACAAGACAAATTGAAACTTATCAAACAGACAGAAGAACAGAATACTTAACAGAGTTTTTTTAGTGCTTCTTACTTTACTTCTTTAAATGGTTTGTTTACATGATCAGCAAATCCAAATTCCTCAATTGCCGGATTGACCATCAATAAAAGGTTGATCCCTTTGACACATTCACTGGTAGTTACTGATACCAAAGAAATTACCTTGAATTTGCCAATACTTCAGTATAACCAAGGGAATTAGAAGTTTGCACAACATGTATATACAAAACTGTTCCGCAACATCATTTTAATTTCATCTAAAATTAATTTCAGACAATTATCCCAAATGGCCTAAAGCACATGAACCTAAACCTTATGTCACTTAAGAGTGCAAAGAATTGGTTATCAGATTCTCCTAGTACTATCTTTTAAAAGTTAAACCTTACCATACATCATTCAAGAACATTCCATTAAGGTAGTAAACAACATATCAACCCTCAAAGGTGGTACAAAGGTAGTAAATACCAATTGCAGCCATCCAAATACTCACTATAAAATGCGTTCATCAAAACAATATCTGAACCTTCATCCAGTGTAGGCAGCTATGATTCACTTTTACGTCTTAGTGAACTCAGTTCCATCACAAACCAATTCCCCGAAGTCTTCACCAAAAGCTCCATAAAGTCAGACTTGAAGATCAACAGAAATCCATATGGCATGTTTGCATGAAACAAGAATAGTCAACAACCTAATATGTTTTTGAAAACTGGGTTTTCTTGTAACTTGCAAGGACAAGATACCAGTAGAATTTGATGGCTGAATGAAGCTACATGCATCCGATATATGCACAAAAATTGGTTCTTGACCTCATAGACACACTTACTTCTCGTTTTTTAACTTTGAAAAGGATGTCTCACAACAGAGAATAGCTCATAAGCTCAACGAGAGATTCTTAAATTCCAAATTAAAGAAAAAAACTACTACTTTTCAACTAATTACTTTGCAGTCTCATTTGTTGATTGTGAGAATGTGGTTTATAATGTGTATTCTTCCACGGCCAAACAACTCCTGTCCTCATCACTAAACAAATTTCTAAACCTAAATAGAGAAAAAGGGAACAAAAATAGAAAGAAGGAAGTTCAGAAATTGATTAGCGCATGGAGATTATATTTATACCACTATGATGATTCTGAGAAACTGTACTTGTACAAGCATGTGAAGTTGTCTGGTCAAATTCAAAGGGTTTAATAGCATTCCACACCAAAGGTGCGGTATCTGTTTCAATTACAATTAATCAATAAATGATATGTTCACCATTATGAATGCCACAATAATACGAAAATCAACCCCAAGATAGTGTATGCCTCAAACAATCCACAGACAAACATAAGGCAAAAAGGTTCAGAACTATTATGCTATCTCATGGTACATAACAGTTACTGTATTAGATGTAACCATTGTATCTTTTTCTTATGTCCAATGAATAGGAGGATTAATCAACAGAGAAAAAATATGTTTAGCGGACCATAAAAAGAAATAAAATTAAACATAAAAAGAACCTTGAGATGAAGACCATATATTGAATCTTGCCAAGAAGTGACTGTATATGTAATCTTAACCAATCCAACACCAACCTCTCAAATGTTATAAAGCACTGAAGCAGGATAAGGATTACAAGGCCCACTGGACATAAATGATTTCGTCCTCATCCTCTCCGAAAGGAAACAGAAAAGCAAGTAAAGACCTGCGAATCTCTATAAAGTCTTAAACTTATATTTTGCTCTCAACGTACCTTTCAAGATACCATTTTCCAAAATAACCAGAAAAACAGGGTCCACAATATTGTTTAAGTTTCACGATTAAAAAATACAAAATGGCAACACATTTCATCCACATATTCCAAAATCATTCACCATTTCTTTAAGAAGACAGGACCCTCACATTAATACCTGATATCCGAAGACATGTTCATCTGTATCTCTTTTCAAGCATCGAACCAAAAAAAACAGTAAAAACAATAGAGTAATCAACAAAAGAAACATACTTCAAGAAGACAAAATTTTTCCCATTCATAACACAAATGTAAAGAGAACGAATGAATGATTTAAAAAAGAAGAATCGATAAGAATAAGAGAAAATACCACGTCATATGAAATCACTCAGAAAATAAGTGGGAACAGAAAAATCTAATCGGAAAAATAAAGAACTTTCCGATTTCTTCTTCTTTTGCTGATAAATCCAACTGCAAAAACACCATAAAAGAAATACCAATACTCCCAAAATAATATAGCGATAGAAACCTTCGATTTTGTTTTCTCAATCATTTATTAGGATTAGGGCAATCCCTTGCAAAATGACCTTCTTCTCCACAATTAAAACATCGTCCCCCTGCTCCTTCTCCTCCTCCAACTCCTCCGCCACCGCCGCCGTATCTTCTACTTCCACCATCATCTCTACGGCCGCCACTGTATCTCGTATTCCCACCACCTTGATAACAATCCCTCGCCAAATGCCCCATTCTCCCACAATTATAACACGCGCCGCCACCTCCTCCTCTGCCACCCCCAGCACCACCATAACCCCCTCTCCTGTAACCACCACCAGCACCAGGAGGACCACCATCTCTACCTCGTCCACCAAAATATCCTCCTCTTCCACCACCACGACCACCACGGGAAGGGCGGCGAGATCGGGGTATAGGAGTTACATCAACGGCCTTAGCGCGGCCGTCTTCGCCGAAATCGACGGAAAATTCGACGGGTTGGTTATCGGAGAGGGTGCGAAAGCCTTGGGAAAGAATAGAGGTTTGGTGGACGAAAAGGTCGTCACCGCCGTCGTTGGGAGCTATGAAACCGAAACCCTTTTGAGCACTGAACCATTTGACTGTGCCAATGGATCTCTCGGTGCTGGTGGTCTCAGCCATTGCCTTCGAGAAGATTCCAGAAAAAAGCCCAAAAAAACAGAAAGAAGTTTCCTCCGTGGCTTTGTTTTCCCTTTTTTTTTTTCTTGTCAGTGGTTTTTGGGTGCGCCAAGAATATCGGGGTCGGGTTTTTCTTGTTTGTTGTGGGACCCGATTGGTGGAGATCGGAGGGTAGAAACGTGGTTGGATCGGATATGACGGTTTGGAAATTTTTGTGGTTTATCCGTATGGGCGTGTTTGACTGGATGAATGGATTAGCTTTGCCTTTGTTTTGTGCGTCAGTTTGGGGTCTCCGCTTGGGCTATGTGAAAGAGATTAAAAGTAAAATGAATTTTTATCAAAAATAAATGTTTTTTGGCCGACATTAAAAAAAAAAAAGGGTTAATTATACCTTTTTACCTGAATTTTAAAAAATACACAAATCGATATGAAGAGAAATAAAATGTATAATTTACATATAAATTTTAAATTATATATCATTTTAATTTTGATTTTAATATTATTAACTTAACTCATTTATATAGTATTTAATCAATATAATTTTATTATACACATGTTATTTATTAAATAAAAATGTTAAATATTTTATAAAAATTTTAGCATAGATATCACGTAACAAAAAATGATTAATCGATCCCAAACAATTTTTACAATTCAGGCAAAAAATGTATATTTAAATTTATATTAAAAATATATTGATAGCATGTATAATAAATACATAATTTAATAATATTTATCAAAATGCTGAAGATAAAAGTTGATATGGTAATAAGATTAAAGTTTAGGTTAATATAATATATAATTAAAAAATTTAAGATGTAAATTATATATTTTTTTGAAAATTCAAGATACAAATTATATATTATTTTAAAACTTAGATAATACATTTTTCTAAAGTTTCAAACAGGAAAACTGTAACTAACTCAAAAATAAATATTAAAATCTTCTAATATTTGACTCTTATAAAGCAAATACTTGTAATTTTTTTTTTTGAAATAATTATGCAACTATCCGAATTATATAAAATATATATACATTCGTATCTATAAAAATGTATACGGTGGTAGAGTATACAAGCTTCATCAAAAGTAAATTTAACATTCGTATTTTTGTATTATATAAAATTTTAATAATTTATATAATTTTATTATATTTTATATAAAAATTATATACTACAAATAGAATAAAAAACACAATTTTAAGTAAAAAGCTAATGATAAGCGCTAATAGGTATTCTAAGCAGAAGAAGTGGATAACACCTTAAGAAGGATGAGATAAGGGGAATTATATATATATATATATATATATTTACACAATTCAAATGAGTCAAGTGAAATTTAAAAGTTTCATTCAAAATATAATGTTAATATTTTCCATTTTTCTTTGCCAATTATGTTTACGACTGCTTTGAGGAAGATTCGTCGGCAAAGCCTCACACTGGTTTAACTCGTCTCTATTAATACTGATCGTTGCTTTAATTATGTCTTTTTGTTTGATTAATTTAATTTTAACTTTATCAGTTTGTTATGTTACTTATACTCAATTAAGGATGTAATCGAGTCGAGTCGATACAATAAAAAATTCGAGCTCGAGCTCGACTCATAATTCGAGATTCGATACTCGATTCGAACTCGATCGAATTTTATTTTTTCAAGTTCAAGTTCGATTCGTGATCGAATTCGAGCTATTCGAACTCGCTCGATTAAGTTTGATTAATATGTAAAAATAAGTTCAATTCGTATACTCGATAAAAATTTAATTATTTATGCTCGACTCGAAATATTTTATTAATTAAAATAATAAAAATATATTTAAATATAAAAATTAGATTAAGTTCGTGAGCTACTCGAATCGAATATAAGAATATTCGAATTCAGCTCGATTGAGAAGTCGAACTACTCAAACTTGACTCGATAATAATCGAACCGAATTCAAATTTTTTCGAATCGAATCCGAATAACTTATGAGTATTAATATATAATTTATATCCCTAAACTCAATCACTGATGTGGTTTCTTTTCTTGTATTTTAAAATAAAAAAATGAAAACAAGTATCATAACAGATAAACCTAAATAATTGATGACGTAAGTTCACATGAAAAACAAAATAATAATATGGGGCTGTGGGTGATCTGCGTTTCTTCTTTTTCTACCATTGATTTAATTTTTTATTACTAATATAATATTGTCGTGTTAATGACATCAAAATGCAAGCTTATTGTTTTTCTTTTTTTATTTGAAGTCGCTGTACTAAATCTTTTGTTAAAAGATAAGCCCTTTAATGGATGAAATAATGGATCATAACTGCTAATTCATTGACATAATGGATCATTAACTGTTAATTCATTGACTTTCTGACTTTTTCTAACACGTGGGAATACTGACATGGACAAAAATAGATAGATGGCGTGGTTTGCAAAAACCAAGGTTTAAAAAAAAAAAAAAAAACTCTTTTAACTCTGTTGTCTTAAAAAACCTTTTCACCTCTCTTGATCCATATTCGATCTTTTTCTACTCTCTCATCCAAATCCGCAAGAAAAAAAACTAAATAAAATTTTATTATAAAAATTTTTATTTTATTATTTATAAAATAAAAATATATAAAAAGTTAAAAATAAAAAATAAAAAAGTTTTCATCAATTTTTTGTAAAGTTTTTATTTTAGAATTAAAATAAAAAAATTAAATTTTTTTATATATCGTATCTTAAAAATAAGATAAAAAATAATGATTAATGATAAAAGTTGAAAATCTTTAAAATTTTTATGTGAAATATTTAAATAAATTTTAAAAAAATAGTATAATAAATGGGCAGATATAGCTAAGTGGATTAAGACATTGGATTGTGAATCCATCATGCGCGAGTTCAAATCTTGTTGTTTGCCCATGTCATTTTTTGTCTTTTTTTTTTTTAACTTTTGATCAAAAAGAAATGTGAAATAAAAAGACTCAAATAGAGAATAAAAAAATTAGAAGTGCGAAAAAAAAATCTTAAATGAAAAAGAAAAAATTAAAACAAAAATGATGCTTCATTGATTCATACAACAATATTCTTTATATTGAAAAAAAGTATCAATAAAAATTAATACCAAATAAGTAAACTTGTTACACCTAAGTTAGTTAGTCAATAGGCAAAGCTTGGTCAATAAGGCTTAGTCCTTAGGCAACCTAGACTAAGCATGCAAAACAACTATGTCACCTCTTTTAAGGGGATAGCTCACCATCTACCAAATGAGGGACTCACCCAAGACCCACTAGTGACTTGTCAAGGCAACCATATCAAAAAAGACTCATTAGCACCAAACTTGCTTAGGATTATTAAATACAACCCATGCTTGTCTGAGGTCATTAAATACAATTCTCATCCATTCATATAGACTTTTCTTAAACTCTACACAGACATCCTATCCACTATTAAACCTTTTAGTTAGACCGTTACCCTTAATCTCAAAGCAAAAGGTAAGTAAAAAACTAATTGCGCAAGGTAACATAGGATAACCTAACTCTTTGAATTCCTTCTTCCCCATTGAAGTTTCACACATACACACCTCACTATTTTACTTCCTACCTTACTTCAGGTAATATATTGACTTGAGCATCAGAGTGCGTTTTTTACTAACAACTCCAACGCCTCCTGACTATATTTTTTGGCTGCAGGTTATCACTGTCTTCTCTTTTCACCTCACATTCTTCTTCATAGCTAAGACATCCCAAAAATACCATCAACAAGACCAAATTCCTACGGGTAAGCTCCAAAACTTACACATTTTACTTTATGAATTATCTTATTTTTTATTCAATTTTGATATAAAATTTAAAAATTTTAACTTTCTCAAGATTGAATAAACTAGCTTGGGTCTTTGAAAAAGAATATGATCAGCACAAAAACATTAATTTGTTCTTCATAAAAATACTTGAGAGAAAAATGAAAAGAAAAATATGTTGTCTTCTTTTTCTACCTCACATTCTTTCTCACAGCTAAGACATCCCAAAAATACTGTCAATAAGAATAAATTCCTACCAATAAGCTCCAAAACTAACACATTTTACTTTATAGGGGCGTTTGATTTAGGGGAATCCAAAATTTTTCTTGAAATCTTGATTGTAGGTATTTGATTCCCACATTTAATTTAGTGTTATCTGATTCTTAGAGAAAATGTTAGATTCTCAACAGTACCCAAAGTTCTAAAATCATGAACCTATCTTTCTTTATGGTATTTTAGAATTTTGAACGAAAAATTGCTTGAGTTTCAAATTTGACCTAAATAAAAAATTTATTTTATCTATGTTACTGTTTTAAAAAGTAAGTCTGAAACTGAAATTAAATTTTATTTTAAGTCAATTACGATATTTTTGTAGAACAAAATGTCGTAATTGGTTCATTTTTTTGGGTTTCAATGTATTTTATTAACTGGCTATTACAACATTTCTCTTAAACATGCGTCTTAATTAGGTTATAAAGAGATTTGAAATGTTTCTATTACAACATTTTTAAGGAAAAAATGTTGTTTTTTTGTACAAGTTGACTTTCTGTAGTTTTTGCCAAATTAGAATGATAATAGTCTTATTCTTGGTACAGGTCAATGGAAATCATGAGACAATAAATGTGGAAAGGGATTTTACATACGTATAATCAAGTGCTTTTGATGAGTGTGTCGATTTCTTGGAATACTTGAATGACTACGAACATGACTATGAATAAACATTTATCCGTTGGTGTAGCATGTCTAGAAGGTGGAAAGATGAACGAAAAATATCTAAAAACAGGTGGGGTTCATAGAATCTACTAAAGGTACTAAAGTTCTCAGTGCTATTAGTCTACTAAACTAATATGTTTCTTCTTGTTCTAAAAAAAGTTCATTGATCATAAATATGAATGTATTTCCTATTTTATGTATTCTCGTATTATAATGCTTCTTATTAGTTACTTGTATAGATATCACTCAATTAAAACGTTTGGTTGAATAAAATGTCGTAATTGAATTTTTTAATTTTAAATCCTAGCAATTACGACATTTATTTAAATGAAACATCGTAATTGAGTGTTTAAAATTTTATATGCAAGCAATAACAGAATAATGTGTAATTAAATGCCATAATTGAGTATATTTAATTTTAAAAATAAATAAAATCTTCTTATTTCATTTGATGATAAAAGACATCATTTGCCATTTGATTCTTTTTTTTTTTAAACAAAATGAAAGATATTTTACAAGGTTGTAAAGGAGATTATAGTCAAAATATATGATTTAACAAATGCAGATTCCTTCCAAACAAATACAAGAATCTAAAAA